ATCATAGCCATTATCTAATTTTATTATCCTACCTAAATGATACTCAGAAGGTGACACACCCAAGACACATCCGATTAAATACCCCATTGATGATCTACTGGTGCAACCTTCAGACAGTGATAAAAAACTGACTGAACGTCCTTGTCCACAACGTGATTTCAATGTCCCAATGCATTGCGTGGGGGATCTTTTGATGGTTTGGGATTTCGGCATTACATTCGGGAAGCTTTTGCATTTGTCACCATTCTCTCTTGAAGATTTTGAAAATGCCATATGTCACAAGGATAGCAATGTTGTTCTCATCATGGAATATCATGCAGCTCTTATTCGATTCCTGTTTGAAGACAGTGGGGTGTATCTCACTGACACCCCAAATAGAAAACACAAGCCTAAGATTACATTGATCACATGGACTGAGTACTTATCTGATTTCTTGGAAACGGCTGGTATTGCTGAGATGTCTTCTCATATCACAAAAATTAAATGTGGTCAGTATGGCCTTCTAGACATTCCTGCCAAATTAGTTATCCTACGGGAACTTGTTGCTCAAGCTCTTGAGTCCGACAGTTTCAAGCAAAAGCTGGATGGGGATATCGAGAAGAGGCAGGCACTGGTTGCTGCAAAGAGGGATGAAGTTATGGAAGAAGGTAGAAAGAGGAGAGAAGAAAAAGAGCGCTCAAAGCCTCAGTGTGCTGGAAAAGAAACAATAAACAACTCGATAGAATTTTTGGATACAATAAACAACTCTTCTGCTCATTTAAAAAACCTTTCCTCTGATGACAGGTTTTATGTCTATTGTTACTCGTGATTTGATTGGTTAGAGTATGATCTTGGTCTTTGTTTTTCATTTTTTTTTTCTTATGTTCTTTCTCTCTCTCCCTCCCTTCCTGGTCCCTTTAGCAAAAACGGACCATCTGAAGTAACTTTTAAGAACGATAAGAAGCAAGAGATAAATATGAAAGCTGCAACTGAGTGCATGGGCGATTCACCAAAGAAAGAAGATAACAAGAATGAAATTGAGAAATCAACACAAAATAAGTGCAAGGACCATTCTCCAAATGCTCATAAAGTGCTGAAGAATGGAATAAAGGAAGCGCTTGAAAATAGAAGCAAGGAACAGAGGGTGAGCTCTCTCTCTATCCCCCATCTCCCCTATCTCCTACCTATAGAATTCCATATTTGCAAATGCTATGTTTTATCACAGTTCTTCCGAATTTTGACTAAAATGTAACACAAATGCTAAAGCTGCCCCATTTTGTACCCCCCTATGTTTGTGGTTCACAAAAGCAATGAGTTAAAATGGAGCAATTAATTTAATTGGGTTGGGTTTTTGTGAGCCACAAACATAGGACGGGGTACAAAATGGGGTACCTCTAGCATTTCTCTAACAAAATGTAAACCCTAGCATCGTTCTTGTGACGTCATGCTTGTGAATCGATTTTCATTCAGAGGCAATATCTTGAGCGGGAAATAGAGAAGACAATAATACGCACTAATCCACTTGGGAAAGACAGAGATTATAATACATATTGGTTTTTCAGACGTGATGCAAGAATATTTGTGGAGAGTCCTGATTCCACTCAGTGGGGGTATTATCGTTCCAAAGAGGAGGTATCCATGTCGTGGCATTATCTATTTTTAACATTCCACATGTTTTTCATAATCCTCAAATCTTCAGACTGGTAACAGTTTGATGCTCTGCTGGGCTCACTCAATGTGAAAGGTGTCAGGGAGAGAGCACTTAAAAAGCAATTGGAAAAGTTCTACACCAAAATCAGGTAATTATATCTGTTTGTGACATTTAAATCTCTTATACCAATTCATTTGCTACACTTTAGCCCTTGTTTCGTTGAGTGGTTTCTGAGGTGAGGGAAGAGGGAAGGTGTGGTATTTGTTTTACTAATGTATTACTTTTTCATTTTAATCATTGGAAAGGAAGTGGAGATGCACAACTGTATAGAAATGCATGATTTAACTAAACGTCCAGTTATTTTCTAGCCTATAGAGGGCGGCAATGTCACTTGAATGTCAGCAATGAGTGAATTGCAGGCAATGGGACCACTATTAGGATCCACTTGGAATTCAAAAAATGCTAGGGCAAAAGGTAAGCCAAAAAAGAAGGGAAACTTGAAACAAAGAAATTTTAGAAAACAAAAAATGGTTCAAACTCAAATGGATCTTATCACGACAACAACATCCAGCCTTACGACCAAAATAGTCTGGGGGTTGGCTCACATGAATGACATATTATTTCGGAGATAAAAACATTAGAACTCAATGGATCTTATGTGATAATTGAGAAAATAATCAGTCCAAACACAATAAAGACTGAGTATCAAAATTTATGTTAGTTTTCAAAAGAACTGATACAATTTGATTTTTTGTTTGTATTACATAGGTAGGTAACACCAATCATTGAAAAAATCATCATACTCAGGGAAGTCTTTCCTATATCATACTCCCCCTTGGTGTTTTTAACATTTCCTGAAGTTTCCAATAAAATTGATATATATGAAGTGGAATCCATTAATTTATGTTTGTAGCTCCAGTAATTTTCTAATCCTCACTTTCCCAAGACACAGTAACGTTAACATGTATGTTTGGGCTGAATTTATATTTGCAGTTCGGAGTATCAAAAGAAAACAAGGGAAGAAGCTCAAAGAGTTGCAATGGAAGAAGCTGTTGTCCGCAGGTCTAGCCGCTTCAAGGCCCTACCAAGACCAGCAAGAGATGATCCCGCCCTTGCTTTCTTGAAGTACATCAATAAGTGGAATACCACTAGACTGTAGAAGACTGCACTTTTCGCTTTATCTGAAGAATTCATTCCAGTCCTATTGCAATGACTTTTAAACAGGAAAAACTCAATTTTGTAGATCATGCTTATGACTTATGAGGCTAATTTTAGACTTTTAGGTGTTATTAAGCCCGGCCGAAGAAGATAATTTCTCATGTGTTTGTCTTTTTTACCGGAGCAGATAATAGACAGTTTTTTAATCATAAAAAAAATGTTTGGTAAACACATTTTACGAGTTTCTACCATTTCAAGGCTGAAGTCTACATACACCATATGGCTCAACTACTCGAGTACTAAGGATTGTAATTCGTCCCAGACCACACTTGGATAGTTATAAAAAATACAAAGAAACCAGACCAGACAAGCAAATTACAGTCCAAGTAAAAACATCCTAACTATGTAGTATTGCGTAAATACTAAGAGAACATTTAGTGGACTTTATGGCTTCTTGTACCAACTACATAGTACATACTAGTTATGGACTTATGGGCATGTTTGTTACGCGAAGCATTGTGTCCGGCAAACTGAAAAATTCAACAGTTCTTGGATACGTTCAATTTTGTTTATCATAGGATTCATAGACAACAACTTTTGCTAATTGCATATGATGTTGACAAATTTTGGGGAAATGGCGCGGTATCACATACAATTCATCCTTAAGAAAATATAAAAATAGGAAAAAGATCTAAGTGTAATAAACCAGATCAAAAGCTTAACTCTTCATTAACATATAGCACATATTTATACAAGGAGATGGGATTAGGGTTACTAGATAAATAGGCTGAATACATGGGTCGGGGAGACTAATGGACATCCACATATTACATAACACTCCCCCTTGGATGTCATTGCTAAAAAATACATTACAAGAAAAATATGCATTATTTCTTTATACATTTTGGTAATGCTGCCACGTTAAAAACCTTGCTGAGGTAAACCTAGTGGGAAAAAACCTTGGTCAAGGGAAAAAGAGTGTAGCTCGTATATATTCCTCCGTTGACTGCATCACTTCAGACTTTGTTCAATCATGATATTCCCTCCGTCCCACTGGACTTTGCCAACTTTCCCTTTTTGTTTGTCCCAAAAAACTGTCACTTTGTCATTTTGTGATTCTGTTCATTTCTCTTTCCTTTGCACAAATTTCAACCACACAGTTTTTACTATTCTAATTTCCCACCAAACATCAACTTGGCAAAGTTGAGTGGGACGGAGGTAATATTAAATAAAATAATTTGCACTATGATAATCAAGCATAGTTCTTCTACAAAATAAATCATGTCATCAAGACTTAATGTGATCACCCAGGTTGTGGTTAGGCACAAGCATCTCTTTCTATATTTCCAACTATGCTTAGAATTTTACTGCATTTCCAATTGTTGCAGTTATTCAATCAATTCCAAATTCTTTTTCAAAATAATTCCAAGTACAATAATGATAAGTCTATAATTAAACGCATAGTTTCTATCTAATTATTATAGACATAAAAGAATTCACATTCATGTTACATGTTGTGTGCACATATTTCTTTTCACCATTGTCCTTCAGGGACACACAATTGATATTATAGCAATGACACCCAATTTTCTCATCAACTGCCACATTTACATATCTTTAAACTATATGAGGAATGTAGTCTCAAAGTCATTCAATCTCGAGTATTGTCACCCCACGTGCACAATATCTTGATTTATGGGACTTCAGGCCAAATATAAAATATCTTCTCATCCATAAACATCGATCATAATTCACAAAATTTAGGACTACAGGTCCATCATATTTCGTCTGGCTGAAAATGTTGTTTCCTGGTAAGGAACTCCGGAAAGTCTGTTTTCGGCGGCAAATTCTAGAGGAGGGAGGGTGTAGTTGAGGTTGGCGGCAAGATTGGGTATCGTCGATCAAGCTCGATGGATGGGTCCTAAGGCAAAGCTGAGCGGAGGAAAGTTTTTTTTTTACTAAGCGGAGGAAAGTTGAGAACCGAAAAACACCAAATCCACGAAAAAAGAAAGCCCTATCGTGCTGATACGTGTAATAAACCAGATCAAAAGCTTAACTCTTCATTAGCATATAACACATATTTATACAGGGAGATGGGATTAGGGTTACTAGATAAATGGGCCGAATACATGGGTTGGGGAGAGTAATGGACATCCACATATTACATAACACTAAGCAGACTCTTTTTTTTTATCGTAAGGCGCTTATATCATTAAAATAACAATCAACAGGAGTACAAAAACATGAAAGGACCACATGTAACCATCCGCCCATGGCCGAGACACTGAGTTAATCACCTTGTTCAAAGCAATATAACTCGCTACACCGAATTTGGGCAAAAAAAAAGCTACCGACGCCTACCGCAGACCTTCCAACCTCCCAACCTAAAGTACGAGTTTCAAAGGTAACAGGAACAAAGAAACAAAACATAAAAGAACATCCGTGGAAATAAAACCTAAGACATAGAATGAAATAAACTCCAGTACTCGAAAACTTGATCCAAAACATCCCCTACAGTACTGGCGGGTCTAGGAGATTCGACCCGCCACCTCCCCATTTTTTGGTCCATCAAGCACCATGCCTTCTTCATCTGTGTCCTCTTCAAGCTTGTCCTCCCATAATCTTCTGCGCTTAGTCTCTCCTGGTTCCCCTTCCACATCACCCGCTGCTTGCATTGATGCACTAGCTCCTGTCCCAGCCGACTGCGTCTCCTCGAGCTCATGCTTCCTCTGTTGCCCAGCTTCCTTGAAATTCACTGGGTCTTGTATCAGCCACTTATTAGCACCTGTTCGGGTAGTTTTTACTCCTCCCCCTACCCTAAGCTCAACTCCAAAAGATTTTTCAATAATAATTCCTTCCTCATAACGTAACAAGCAAAACTTATCCGAGTGTCCAATCACCCCACATATGAAACAGAAGTTGGGTAGCTTGTCATACTTGAAATCAACCCAATGTCCCCTTCCTTCTTTTTTCAGAGAGGTGCCCCTTTTCAGAGGTTTCCTAACATCCATACGGATTTTGATTCTCAAAAAAGATTTCGTTTTGTCTCCATAACTTCTTTCATCAAACTTTATAAAAGAGCCAAAAAAATTCCCAATTCGCTTAGTAGAATTTAGATTTCTAAATTTTTGGGGAACATTATGCACTTGAACCCAAAAGTCTGCTTCAAATAAAATTAGTTTTTCAGGGATATCATCTGGTTGAACTGTCTTTAACAGCACTAAATCTCTCTCAAACACCCAAGGTCCATCTTCCAGTGCACGATTCATATCCAAAACATGATTAAAAGTAAAGAGATACCTTTTTACATCAATTTCTTTGATGGATACCCCCATACCAGGGCGCCAGGCTAAAGTCATCGCATCCTGAAGCGCCTGCAAATTAACCCTCCGATCGGAAATCACCGTCCCGACCACCGGGAAACCAATCTGTTCATCGTTCACTTCCTCCTCACTAACTTCTTCTGTATCAAAATCGAGTTCGTCATCTGCCTCCCCAATAGCCATCTTGAAGAATTACTGTATAAGGAATGGAAATTATATGAGATAAAATATTCAATCAATCATCATACATAAAGTGTGCCTGGTACAAGTATATATATCCGAATAGCGCTGATGTATGCTAGGAAAAATCTCCGTCCATTATGGACTCTAACTAAGGAGTATATTATTTCTAATATAACTCCATTACCATAAATAATACGTAACCAATAATAATAAGTATACTACCAAAAATAATACGTATCCCATAATAACTCATAATACCCCCCTCAAGTTGGGGCATGAAGGTCCAAAATGCCCAACTTGCGAAGGAGAAAATGAAACTTAGTTTTTCCAAGAGCCTTGGTAAAAATGTCCGCGAGCTGAATGGTTGTAGGGACATAATTTGGAGCAATAAGACCCTCTTGGATAGCATCCCGTACAAAATGGCAGTCAACCTCTATATGTTTTGTCCGTTCATGAAAGACCGGATTCCGTGCAATATGAATAGAGGATTGGCTATCACAGTATAGTGGAATAGCTTGAGGGTGATGAATTCCTAAGCTCAAAAGTAAAGCTTTTAACCATTTCAGTTCGCCAGTAGCAGCAGCCATGGATCGATATTCGGCTTCAGCAGAGGATTTAGAAACTGTAGTTTGTTTCTTGGTTTTCCAGGAAATAGGAGAATGACCAAGGAACACAATCCATCCTGAAATGGATTTTCGAGTAAGTGGACATGCAGCCCGATCAGAATCGCACCAGCCAGTGAGAGAGAGATTACTGTCAGCACGAAGAAGAATGCCTTGGCCCGGTGAGCCCTTTAGGTAGCGAACCACGCGAAGTGCCGCATCCCAATGATCTTGACGGGGCTCCTGTAAAAATTGGGATAAAATATGTACCGAATATGCTAAGTCTGGACGAGTGACAGCAAGATATATGAGACGACCAACAAGGCGTCTATAAGATTCCGGATCATCAAGCAAAGGGCCCTCAGAGTGAGCAAGTTTATGATTTTGATCCATTGGAAAAGCAGACGGTTTGGCCCCAAGCAAACCTGTTTCAGAAATAATATCTAAGGCATACTTGCGCTGAGTGAGAAAAAGACCAGAAGGATTCCGAGCTACGTCAATGCCGAGAAAATATTTAAGAGACCCCAAATCCTTCATATGAAAGCAATCACTAAGATACATTTTGAAGGCAGAAATAGCTCCAGAATCATTTCCGGAGATAATGAGATCGTCCACATAAACAAGGACATTCAATTGAATAGCACCACGAGTACGAGTGAATAAGGAGTAATCAACATAAGACTGGAGAAACCCATAGTCCTTTAAAGCTGTGACTAATTTAGCAAACCAACACCGTGGGGCCTGTTTCAATCCATAAAGAGATTTGCGCAATCGGCAAACAAGAGACGGATCTGTGATCTGAAAACCGGGGGGAGGTGTCATATATACCTCTTCGTCGAGATCACGCTGGAGAAATGCATTATGAACATCCATCTGATGCAGCTCCCAATTTTTCGATGCTGCAACAGCCAAGAATGCACGAACGGTCACCATTTTGGCAACAGGAGCGAATGTCTCATTATAATCGAGACCCGCTACCTGGCGATTACCAAAAATAACTAGGTGAGCTTTAAGACGTTCAATGCTACCATCAGAATGATACTTGATTTTGTACACCCAACGACATCCCAACGCTCTCTTCCCAGGCGGGAGAGGTTCTAATGTCCAAGTGCCATTATCCTCAAGGGCTCGGATTTCCGATAACATAGCTGCCCGCCAACCATTATCACGTACCGCCTCCCTATATGTTGAGGGTTCTTTGCCTGTACTGATAGCAGCAAGAAAAACACGATGTTTGGGAGAAATATTATCACACGTAACATAATGTGCTATAGGAAACGGCGTACCTGAAGAAGATGACGGAGCATGTGACGAGGGGAATGGGCTGTTCAAAACAGCTGTATGAGTAGAGTAATCCTTCAGGCGGACCGAAGGAACTTTGATCCGTTTTCCACGTCCCAAATCGTGGCTTTCCGGTGCAGTAGGCACGTCATCCTGTGCATAATCATTCGGTATGGATTCTGGGGAGCGTACTGTATGATCTGTGGTTCGTATATCTCCAGAAGAGATGGAGATGGTGGGTCCAGTATGGGTGGGCTGTCCGGCTGGAGTTTCTGCCAAAGGAACATGGGAAGGAGGAGCAGTATCACGTGGGTGGCTTTCCAAATTAACACGCAGGTCTTCAAAATCCTGGATAGGGAGATAATCTGGCACGTCATTGATTTCAACAGGAGGGTTTGTTGGTGTTAATGTGCTGGATGAGGGAGCAAAAGGAAAAATTGTCTCAAAAAATTTAACATCTCGCGAAACAAAATATTCCTTCGTCTCAAGATCAAACACTTGCCAACCTTTTTTCCCAAATGGATAGCCCACGAAAACACATTTGCGGCTGCGACTAAGGAATTTGTCTCCTTTTGACCGCATATTATAAACATAGCACAAACAACCGAATATCCTCAAATGATTATAGGACGGAGGCACCCCAAATAAAATTTCAAAAGGTGCCTTATTTTTTAAAATGCCTGACAGTGTCCGATTAATTAGGTGGGTTGCCGTTAGAATACATTCTCCCCAAAAAGAGATAGGCAGATGAGACTGAAAGCGTAAAGCACGCGCCACATTTAAAATATGACGGTGTTTACGTTCGACACGTCCATTTTGTTGTGGCGTGCCAACACATGAAGTTTGAAAAAATATTCCATGGTCTCGAAATAAGGGCTTAAGTCCATTAAATTCAGTTCCGTTATCACTACGAACCACCCGAATTTGTTGAGAAAATTGCCGTGCAACCATAGCAATAAAGGCCTTAAACATGGGAATAACTTCTTTCTTATCTAGCAATAAATAAACCCATACTGCACGCGAGAAATCATCCACAAGAGTTAAAAAATATTTTGCTCCACATGAGGAAGGTGTTTCATATGGACCCCACAGATCACAATGAATAAGTTCAAAAATTCGAGTTGAATTACTACTACTCAACGGAAAAGAGTCACGTGTTTGTTTGGCTCTAAAGCAAGCACAGGGATGAGAGTTATATTGCTTAGAACCACACAAAAAAACGGAAGATACTGTATAACATTATCTGACGGGTGCCCCATACGTTGATGCCATAGAGCTAGAGTCGAAGATGTGTGTCCCACAAATCGTGTCCGGAAAGCAGATGATTGTTGCAGGTAGTAAAGTCCATTCCGCCTCTCACCCGCTCCAATCAGCTTCTTCGAGTGACAGTCTTGTATAGCACATATGTTAGTCGTGAATTGCACAAAACAGTTCAGGGCATCACTCAGTTGTGAGACAGAAATAAGATTACAACTCAGTTGAGGTATATAAAGCATGTTGTCTAAACGTACGGTATCCGATAAATGTACTGATCCCTCTTTTATAGCTTCCACCTGTTGACCATCCGGTAAACTCACTGGGCAGGCAATAATATCTTTTACATCAAAAAGATAGTCCAAGTTTCCAGTAACATGATTTGAAGCTCCCGTATCAATTATCCAAGAAAGTGTGTCAAACTTACCGGACATTCGTTCAGTTGTGGAGTGAGAATTACCAAACGCCGCAAGAAAAGCTTTCCATTGGTCTGCGGTGAAACCAGGCAGTGGATTTGATTGGCTAATGTGTTGGTCAACACCTGTTCTTGCTCCAGAATTTCCTCCACCGGTGGATAGGGGATGGGCCCTTACTGTCTTGAAAGGAGGTGCATGTTTCCCACGCCTAGCAGTCCCAGCGAACTGCTTCCCTCTGTCGGCTCCAACACGTGGCCTATCCTGGGGTCCCAAAATATATGGGGATGTAAGATCAATTTCCCCTTGCGAAGAAGGTGTTGTATTTTCTGGATCTTCTTCTTCAATTGCCATGGAGATGTCGTTCGTATCTCAGCCTTGTGGCTCTGATACCATGAAGAATTACTGTATAAGGAATGGAAATTATATGAGATAAAATATTCAATCAATCATCATACATAAAGTGTGCCTGGTACACAGGGGCGGAGCTAGGGGGTGCCCAGGCTAGGCCCTGGCCCACCCCAAAATTGAAAAATGCCAATATTTTTAGTGTAAAAAATTTTGTGTAAATTTTTTCCCAATAATATTCTTTGTACCGGCCCAGTCTAGCCCAGTGTCCTGGCTACGCCCCTGCTGGTACAAGTATATATATATATCCGAATAGCACTGATGTACGCTAGGAAAAATCTCCGTCCATTATGGACTCTAACTAAGGAATATATTATTTCTAATATAACTCCATTACCATAAATAATACGTAACCAATAATAATAAGTATACTACCAAAAATAATACGTATCCCATAATAACTCATAATACATCTTCTTATAGTTGTTAACAATTTCGTCCATCTGCGATCCTTTGTAAGCCCTCTTCCCGTTACTATATCCCAGCCGAGAACGAAGTAATCGACCAGAATAAACCCCACCTTCGATCAACTCGAACGAAAACGAAAAGACGTAGCCAAGAAACAAGAAACTAAGACCGAACTTCGATCTCCTCGATCGAATCCGGAGAAACAGCCCAGCGGCGTGCTATCGCAGCCCTAGGAAAAACCTATCAAGCTCCATTAATAGTGAAACGAAACATATTTCCAAAAAGTATAGAACTGAAAGATCGAAATTTTATCCCAACTATGGAGATAATAGTTAGAACCTAGAACAAAGCAGGCTCTTTTGATATTTAAAACTCATCACTTCAAACTCTTATATTAATAAGTGATCACGTAAGTATGTTTATTTAAAGTAGGAAAAAGATCTAAGCAGACTCTTATATTAATCAGGTCATTTTATGGGCTCTTGACCTATTATATACGGAGTAGCAATGTAGCATGTTATTTTGTAAAGAACCATGAAAATCATTTTTCTATCATCAAATCCATCTCTTATATTAAAGCCATTAAGAATCGGATCGTTACAACAAACTCCAATAGATCAACTCTTTTTTTGAGGGAATCCAATAGATCAACTCTGACAACAACTATCCCTAACCAACTAGCACAATCAACCCTACGGCTAGACTCTGAGACGATCACCCTTGAAAGAGCATTAGAGCAATACGAATCGCTAACCATCAAGCGAGTGTGACACAATCATAATATATAGCGGAATTAACAATCATTATTGTAGACCTAAAACTAAAATCATCAACAAAATACGAAACATCGTAAACAAACATAACACGAAAATAAGACCTAAAAAAATAAAATAATTGACAAATACTCCAAACTCCATCCTGACTGGTTCCTTGAAATATCATCTTCCAAACTCTAGCATCTCGTTCGATCCAAGGCGGCGGTTCATGAGGGGGACGGACCGCTGATCTGTATTCTCCCTTGCTCAACCCTTCATTGCTCATTCTCTCCCTGTCTGTTCATCACCCGTGTCGTGGGCCGGAACCAAATTTGTCAACCTCTGAGCCGTGGCTAGATTGCCAATCCCCCTTCAATTCCGATCCAGCACATTCATGTCGTTGCCAAAATAAACAAAACACACTTCCGTCTGATCAATTCAAACCAAAAGCTGGTAGGAAACCTCTGCCGGACCAATCCAAAACGAACGCCTTATTAATCCAACCAAAAACTAGAAGAATACTCCGCCGGACCAAGCCAAAACAGCCGCCAAAACACAACCTAGGATATACCTAGACAACGACCGCCGATTATATCCCTACTGGAAAATGGAATGGGACGTTTGCTAATGGCGACAAGGCCATGTATACGAAATGACAAGCATCGGCCAAGACTGGAGCGGAGGTAGATTGCGGCGCCGAAGTAGTTTAGGGTTAACGTCCAGAACAATGAAAATTATATTTTCATTTTCATTTAAAGTAATATTTTGTCATTTTTCTTTGTCAACTTTCCTTATTTTGTTGTTCAAAAGATTGCCATTTTCATTTAAAGTGCTACCTCCGTGCTCTAAGATTGAGACAAAAGATGATGGTGCATTTTTTTTAAAAGTAGATTTATATAGTTGATATTTAATTGATATACTATGAATAAAGTAAAAATAAATTAAACCACACAAATATTGTATGAGACAAACTACTTTGCAATAAATATTCTAGTGTGATGAAGGGGGTAATAAATATTTGGTTAAAATTATTTCTCTCCTTTGCATAATTTTAATTACAATTTTTTACTTTATATTCAACGTACGTGCAAGTCAACTTTGACCAAGAATCATTGGACACTCTTAATAAACTTTGTCATCTTTTCTTTTTGAGACGTTCCAAAAAACTTTGCTATTTTTCATTTTAATCAATTATATTGTGGTTCATGTTATTTCTCTCTCCTCTGTACAAACCTCAACCACACACTTTACTTTATTATTCGCTGTGTCGGTCAAACTTGATAAAGTGTTAAGAGACGGGGGTGGTATGAAGTATGACATCAAAGTTATTTCTTTCTCTATACAAATATATATCACACAATTTTCAACTTACTGTTTCACGTGTAATTAGACTTTGGCTAAGTTTTACAAGATGGCTGGACTAATTGTTTTTTCAAAGCGTGTGTGATTCTTTATTAATATTGAACTGAACCAGTGCATAAAAATTTGTCTTGACTTACATAAGGCTACAACCAATTCAAAGAGCACCGACATTAAAGTTTAGCCATGTGATTATGCAGATATCAAGATACGTAATACGGAGTATGAAGATATACACATGCTACTCTGTTGAGCAGTGACCATGAGGGAGATGGGAGTATGGGACTGTTAGATTCATGTGAAAAGTGTAATCTAACAATATCAAAACTCATTCTACACGGACATGCATTCAGTGAGCCATAACATCACACATTGATGTGACCTACCCAGCGTTGGACACTTGGACCTGGTACAGGTTCTTAGGGGAACGAAATCGACAAGATAGTTACCTGAACCCAATCAAGCCGACTGGTCCGGAACCGAAACCAGTACTAGTAACCGTCTACTTTATAGTCCAATTCCTCAAGGGCCAGATAGCAATCAACCTGACTCTTGAACAGCCATTGCTAACATATCAAGAACCAGACCAATATTACAAATCTTAGTTGAAGTTCATACCTTAAGGTGACGGTATCGGCCCGTGTCCACCCCAAAACACACCTTGAAAACGAGTAAAGCCCGTTTTCACGGTCAATTATACTTGTCATTCC